ACTTCTGGAAATTCTACAGTTGTTACTTCAGAGCTTTCTTAGTCTGTACCATTTTTCGATTAGTTTGTTGTGTGGGAAGTCAAGTAAAGTCATACTCTATTATGCCCAGGAAGGACGAGAAATTTTACAACGTGAAAAACTCCTAGACCGAACCAGGATTCGAACCCAGCTGCTTTTAGTGTGATTTTGCTTTGGAGCTGGGCCTTTACAGACTGAGCACACTAGGAACTAACTCTAGAGATAGCACCAAATTATTTCAAAGAAAAATTCTAAGGGAGTTTTGGAAAGAATTCTATGACCATTTTAACTAGAATTCCATGTCAATTCCAGGGAGATTTTCATGGATTGTAAGATACTTCCAGGTGAATTTCAAGGAGAGTTCAGAGATTTTGTTTGTTCTGTGCAAAATTCATTTCTAATGATTATTCCAAATAAGTCCTGAGAAGAATTTCTAGATGATGACTGATGACAATTTCAAGAAAATTCCGCTGGTATTGAATTCTGAGGATAGTTCCAACATAATTCTAGGGAAAATTTGAAGGTGATTGTAAAAATAATGTCAATTGAACTCTGAAGTTCCAAGGGAATTTAGAATTGAATGTCAATCGGATCGAGGGTGCAATTTCAAAGAAATTCTAATAAGATTACCAAGGGAATTCCGAGGATAACTTCAGCGCATTTCCAGAATGCCAAGAAATTCCTGAACAGAGTTTTAGATTTTTTCTGAGCGGAATTGGATGAAAATTTATTGCAGAATTCAAAAAAATAATAAATAGCATTTCGATAGGAAGCTGCAGTGCATTCTTAGAAGAATTATTAATAATTCGAAGTTAATGTTAGTGTTAATTACATGACTTTTTCAGAGAATTTCTGGAAAAAAAAAATCAAGGCAATTCCAGAGAGATCCAGAAATTTAGTTTAGAGGGATTCTTAAAAGAATTCAGAAGGGAATTTTTTCTAACCCGTCGACGCCCAAGTTGTTTTTGATCTCCGGAAAATGCGGGATTTTTACAGGAGTAACCCAAGGATTATTCTCACATTATTTGAATACAAGATGTTAAGTATATTCCAAGAATCATTATAGTACATTGAAAACATAATTTACGTTCCCAATTTCTGTAAAGAAACAAAAACGCTGATCTATAAATAGATCAGTGGGGGGTTACTGGTTTAAAGAAAATACATCCTGCGAAGAGTTCTATGCGATTTTTCTTCGTAGTTAAAACAGAGAAATGTTGTTGCCTTTTTTATGACATATTTAACCTAGTGATTCTTTTGGTACAATCGTATTCGGTTGTATGCTTAATTTGAGTGCATATCGCACAACCGGGAAGTTATTTTTAACTCTTTATTTGTTCCAAATTCAAAATAAATTACATTTCATTTTAACCTAGGTGCTCCAGTAACTACAGTAACTTACCAGCCTTAATTGTTATGATATATATCTAAGTGTTTCTACATTGGTCCTGCCTGGCAATTCAGTATTTTAAACAGGTTTCTTAAACCTGCATGTGAGTATAACAATTGAAATCTTAAAACTAAAAACTAAAACTAAATCTTATCTAAGCATAAAGGGAATTGATCATTGCAATTGAGGATTGCAACGGTTTTTGCCTTAAGTTATTAATTATTTCGTTGGACATTTGTTCTAAAGTCTCAACATTCTAAATTCTATTTTCCTCAGTAGTACTGTGCCAGGGAGGCAACTTTAAAATCATCTTCAGAACTTGTTATGAATCCTTTGAAGTGGTTTTTTCCTGGTAGTGCAAGAACTAGACATATTGACACAGCGTAAAGCATGGCCGGTTCAACCGGGAAGTTGCTTATCGGGATTAGCTGGTCACCATGCAAATTTGAATTTGTTTGCGTATGACTAATTTGACCTAGTGACCTCTTCTGCGTAATGGCGTTCCACCGGCTGGCATCTGTCCTAATCCTCCATCGTCAAACAAATTGTGTTACCGTGCAGGGTTATTTGAAAATTTGTCATCTGGCAAATTTAAGTGAAAATTCACCAATTGGAATCCAGCCTGAATTCAAATTATGACATTTACTAGAACATTCTTAAAGGATCAGAGATGGCTGGTAATGCATTGGTACTATACTGGGGGAAAACAATTACTCATTCTAGTCGTGTTGAAAAAACGGAAAGGCACTATATTGTGGAAAGCACAATAAGATAATACTGTATTCCTAGAGCTTGGCCCAGCAAAGTTGAGAAAGTTTCCCCCAAAAAAATTTCTAGGAACAATCTTAAACATAGTGATACCGTAATGCCTCGAAATCCGGACACATAGTCCATAAATCCGAAGACTTCTAAAATTTGATTATTAAGGCCAAATATAGCAGCGCGGAGAAGAACGTCACCAGAAGCCGGATGTTGGTGTCTTGTACCCGTCAGAACAGAGAGCGGTACAGGGTAGTAAGGTCAGCCGAGAAACGAACCCATCGCAGGAAAAAAAGGCAGTACGAGGAACGCGTTATTGCTGAGGCGCAAGAAAGTATGGAGCAGAATGATATGCGAAGGTTTTACTCAACTGTCAATGGCGTGAGGAGTAAGACAGCGCCGTCTCCCGCCATGTGCTATGACCGTGAAGGTAATCTGCTAGGAGTACTTCGAGCCGTTGCTGAACGGAGAGAACGAGAGAGCATCTACAAACAGAACACACATCGACGACGATGGTCAAGCTGTGGAACCACCAACGCTAGAAGAGGTGAAAAAGGCGATACGAGAGCTGAAAAACAGTAAGTCTGCGGGGAAGGACGAGCTCCCGGCCGAACTTCTCAAACACGGAAGTGAGCAGTTGCACCAGATGATCCACCGTATACTGCTCAAGATATGGGAGGAGGAAGAATTGCCCGCTAGTTGGTTGGATGGCCTCGTTTGTCCCCTCTACAAAAAGGGACACAGACTGGAGTGCGCCAATTACAGAGGAATCACGCTTCTGAATTCGGCGTACAAAATATTATCACGTGTTCTGTTCAACAGATTGAGACCGCTTGAGGAATCCTTCGTCGGCGAATACCAGGCTGGTTTTCGTGAGGGTCGATCAACGACGGATCAAATGTTTACCCTGCGTCAAACCCTTGAGAAGTTCCGGGAATACAACTTGCGGACTCATCATCTGTTCATAGATTGCAAGGCAGCGTACGATTCAGTAGAGAGAAACGAGCTATGGCAGATAATGCAAGAAAACGGTTTTCCGACGAAACTAATTAGGCTGATTCGTGCCACGCTGGCTGGTTCGACATCATGTGTACGGGTTGCAGACGAGATATTGGCCTCGTTCGTGACCTTAGATGGGTTGAAGCAGGGAGATGCTCTTTCGAACTTGCTATTCAACATCGCCCTCGAAGGAGCGATTAGGAGAGCTGGCGTGCAGAGGAACGGTATCATCATCACAAAGTTGCACATGCTCCTTGGTTTTGCGGACGACATCGACCGTAGAGCAGTGGAAGAGGCGTTCGCGCCTTTTAAGAAGAAGACAGCGATTATTGGTCTCACGATAAATTCTACCAAAACGAAGTACATGGTCGCCGGTAGAAAGCGTGGGAGCAATAGTGGTGTTGGTAGTGAAGTGGTGCTAGATGGCGAAAAATTTGATGTTGTGGACGAATTTGTTTATCTTGGTACTTTAGTGACGTGCGATAATGATGTTACCCGCGAGGTGAAAAGGCGTATTGCAGCCGCGAACAGGGCTTTCTACGGGTTGCGTAGCCAGCTGAAGTCCCGCAGCTTGCGTACGAAAACGAAATTCACGCTGTACAAGACGTTGATTCTGCCGGTAGCCCTTTATGGCCACGAATCGTGGGCATTGAAAGAGGCCGATCGGAGAGCTTTCGGTGTCTTCGAGCGTAAAGTGCTGCGAACAATACTCGGCGGTAAACTGGAAAATGGCATCTGGCGGCGTCGCATGAATCACGAGTTGTACCAAGTATATAACGGCATGGATATTGTGAAGCTTATAAAACACGGCAGGCTACAGTGGGCTGGGCATGTGGCACGAATGCCGGAAGAGCGTCAAGCCAAGTCAATATTCAGCAGGGAACCCGGAAGAGGACGTTGGCTTCGGGGTAGGCCACGCACGCGTTGGCTTTGTGCAGTTGAGGAGAACATTAGGTCCTTGAACGTCCAAGGCGACTGGAAGCGATTGGCTCAGGACCGATACCAATGGAGACGGTTACTTCGTTCGGCGCAGATTTGAATTCAACGAGTCGTCGCCCACCAGGTACCAGGTAGGTATAGCAGCGCCACCGTTGGTGTAGCGGTAAGCGTGATTGCGGAGGCGACCTCGGCGTAGTGGTTAATATCCATACCTCTCACGCCAAAGTGACGAGTTCAAATCTCATCCCTAGACAAGTCACGAATGACCCAAAAGTGTTAAAGTGACTATATTTGAAAAAAAAAGCGTGATTGCCTTTCATCCCAAAAGGCCTGGGTTCAATCTCAATCGGCGCCGCCGGTTGGTCCTAAGGCATAACATCTCTGATCACGCCTTCCTTCGGAAGGGAAGTAAAGCCGTTGGACCCTGGGTATTGGTACTCAGTACGGAAAACAAGATCGTCGGAAAAACAAATAAATAAGAGCAAATATGATTCAAATGTCACGGAAATTGTATAGTTGCATATCAGTCCCATATGGATTTTCGTAAGTTTTGAGATAACAACGCTATCCATTATCAATTTACATCTACTTTCATATGATTGGATAAAACTACGGACTTTGATCATGAAAAATGTGAAAACAACATCAAGTCAGTTTGTCTCATTAAGCAAAGTAACCGCATATCAGTCCCATCCTTAAATTTAATCGTCCCGAGGTGAAGTTACAGTTCTGTTCAAATATTTACATAGGAATCGCACTTCGTAACTTCGACTGCCATTATCTAAATGCTTACTTTTTCCATATGTAATAGTGTAATTCAAATTGAAATGCCCAGATTAAAAGCCTGTCCGGGATTCGGTACATTACGGTAACTCTTTTCGTTCTACACTTTTAGACGAGGAAGTCAACGAAAAGGCATTCAAATGTCTAACTGATGACATAATCCGTGAGCTGATACCGAAGCTGGGAAAGCGTGCCATCTTCAACAATGCCTACAAAGCCTATCGAGAAGCTTCAGCTAAGGATGAGATTCCTCTTCCTGCTATGGTCAAGCAAAACGATTATCCATCACCTGCATCCAGTCCTACATCGACAGCTCCGGTCAAATTAGAGTCAGCTATCAGCAATCCGTCCGATACTGTTCCAAGTGAAAATGATATCCCATTTCGGGTCAGTTGATTTTTGATTTTGTTAATAAAGTTACTGTAGCCACAATTTAATGATTTTAACTTTTTTCAGCTTGAAACTGTAAAATTGGAAAACGTAGGTCCAACGATAAAGGCACCATCAGATGATACGCTGTTCGCAGGTGACGATGCTCCAGAACCACCTCGAATAACATTCAGTATTTCGGCGTTGGAAAATCCATCCGACGAGGACCGTAGAACCGCCGATTCCCTGCGTCAGTTTTTGAGCACATCTGAAACAGCGAAACATTTTTTTTTTTTTTTTTTTTTTTTGTTGTTTTATATCTTTATTAAGGAGACTTTCAGCCGTTGGCTTCAATCATTTATTAGGTAAGACTTTTCTGACGCGAAGTGGTCGAAATATGTTGGTGAAGGGAATCGTTGACTATCTGTATGCCACAAATGGACCTGTTCTGAGTAATCGGCTGCTGCAAAGTTGGGCTAGAGCAGTGGAACAGGTATTTCACGAGGAGATCAGTGGGTTGTACTTCAGGGAAACGGAGAATGGGTCGTCCTGTGGGGGAAAACTTGCTCAGTATTATAGGCAAGTGAAGCAGATGAAAGGCGTAGCTGAGAGTGGGTAAATTTAGTGATTTTCTTTTAAAGATATTTTATGGACATTTGACGAAAGAGGCTTTAATAGATTAAATTTATATAAATTGGTTTGATATTGAAAATAAATCAATATAACATTTCCTTTACTATACTGCTCTTAAAAACATATCAGTCCCATCTAGAAAAACAGCAAACCGAGAATAACACTGTTGAAAATTTATTGCTCCGTGCCAAAACCAAGTTTTGGTATTATTCACGATATTTTCTGAACAAAACATGTAACTTTTAGTGCACTGTGTAAAATACCGGTAGCTTACAATTGATTATAATGGATAACTCATTTTAGACATAAATCCATATGGGACTGTTGTGTTTATGGGCAGTCTAATAATGCACTACTTATTATGATTGCGTATTTTTGAACATGATTTTATCACATTTCCATATGGCCGTACTGGTAGCTAAACACCAATTATTGAACCAAATTTCATACAAACTAATAATTCAACAACATTTAAAAAATATAATCTAATAAATGTTGTATCAGAAAACAATCATGAATCGAAAAGTAACCAAACATCAGATGTGCTGACATTCAAGCATCTGACAATTGGAGTAACTCACTCAAAACGCTGTTTGACACATTTTGTGACGTTTCGCCATTTGAGTGACGGTGTTTTTGACAGGATGGTTGCCCTCCAATAGCTTTGATAACATTTGTGATGTTCCGTTAGCTATGTCCCTTAGAATGCGTGTGTTGCTCGAAAAGAAGAAGCAGTTATGTAAACCACATTATTAAAACATTTATAATATAATTATAACTAAATTACGACGCTTTTTTTTTTTAATTTTTCAATCCAAAAAAATATACTTTTACAAACTTTCTTATTTGACATTTGCATTTTCCCTCTACACTGGCTACATTTGCTACGTAAAAAGCTGCACAGCTCAGTAATGTTTTTATTTTTTGTGGAAGTTGTCAAAATTGGTTTTGGCATCGCCGAGATATTCGGCAGAGATGATTTTGGTAAAAATATGAAAATTGTATAATTTTAGATACAAATATTTTCTGAAATGAAGATTTCAAATTGATTTTCCTATTGGATTCCACAACAGGATGCATTCGCTTTGAATGGGTTTTGCCAAGATTTATTCCCCTTTTCCTATACCACCATACGGAACTACCTGCCCTTGCTGAGTGGTATGGGTATGGCATGGCATCGGCATAGCATGGCATCGGCATAGCATGGCGGAGGGTAGATTTTCACTCAGTGCTTTTCCATAACAACATAACCATCACCAGTGCGACCTTCCCGCCCGAGGTCTAGTGGCTGCCCGAGACACCACCAAAGCATACTTACCTGGCATAGGGGTTACCGTGATCATGAAGGCGGTTCCCCCAGGGTGAGGCCCTCCCATTGCACTTCGGTTGGGTTGACCCCTGCGATTATCCCTCATGTGGATAACTCGTATGCGCAATTTTTGATAGCCGGGACGTGCGTTCGCGCACATCCCGATCTTATTCGTTGAAAAATAAATTATCAGGATAGAGAATAAGCTATTCTCTTTTGCCTGAAGCAGACTCAGTGCTGTTGCTGGTGACATCGACTTCTTAGCTAAAACAAGTTTAGCAATTTAAAGAACGAAGTCTTCCACATAGGACATGCCAAAAATTGAAGATTTCAAAAAGCAAAATAATATTTGACCATAAATTGAAAATTACTGAAAGCGCAGTCATATCTCCATTTGGCGAACGCCAAAAGTTTAAGATGTTAAAAAGTGAAGTAATATTTCCACATGAAGAGCGCCAAAAATTCAAGATTATGAGAAGCGAAGTCATATTTCTAAATTGGGAACGCCAAAAACTCAAGATTTCAAACAGTGAAGTCATTCATCCAAAAATTGAAGATTAAAAAAGCCAAGGCATAATTCCACATGGGGAAAACCAAAAATTCAAGATAACAGAAAGCGAAATCATATTTCCACATGGGGAAAACCAAAAATTGAAGATTACGGAAAGCTTAATATTTTTTTAACCGGGTAAATCTCAGAAGCAGTGACTGTCCCTGGTAATGTGCGAGTCATGTGACTCTCTGTCACTAATGAGGTGACAACAAAAGTTACGTCGTGTGAGATGACCAGTGATGTACATTAATGTTGAACACGAAAAAATCCGGACACATTAAAAACTTCAAGGGACAGCCCTATGGGGTTGTAAGCAGAGGCCAGAGGTGACCAGGCATGGAAAATCATTTGCATTCATTTCATGCATTCATTTACATTCATTTGCCTCTAACTTTTTTCATTAACAGCATTCCGCAAAATTATGTATAGAGCTTTTGTAGGTTTTGTTATAAACTACAACTTTTGTTCAAAATTAAAATCTGTATCTCTTATGCATCACGAACTAGAGTGGCAGAACTTGTAACTGTTTTTCAGTGAATGTAAAATACATTCACTGTAAAACAGTAGTGGCTTCTGTTCGCTCTGGTTCGTCGTGCATAAGAGATACGAATTTGACTTTTGTTAACAAAAGTTGTAGCTAATAACAAAACCTACAAAAGCTTTATACATCAATTTGCAGAATGCTGTTCAAGAAAAAAGTTAGAGGCAAATGAATGTAAATGAATGCAAATGATTTTCCATGCCTGGTGGTAACGCAGGACTACGTGGTCTTATATAATAAATCTTATTTGATAACTGCAGTACGAGCTTGTGTTTTGCGCGGGAATAGGAATTCGAGCGGGGTTCTCTCTGATAATACTCTTTAGTACGACGAAATTGACATAGATGGCCCACATCGACTCACGAAGAGCACGAATAAACACCGTTTGGTGCGGTCGGATGGAATTCAACTTTGAAATCTGTGTAATGGAAATCGCTGTTCGCAGGCAGTCGGTGGTGGTTTTAATTATCATAGCAACAGTTGCACATGACATTTTGAAAAATGATAAGGTCTTAAATTTCACAGATGCGTAGAAATATTTCTGATCGATTGGTGTTAAAATGATTGAAATTGGTTCAGGGGAAGCTGAGTTATTAACGTTGAAAATCTTTCATAATTTTGTTACATGTTCCACAAAGTGTACCCCCATATAGAAATCACAGACGTAGTCTTACGTCAAAACGCTTGAGAGAATAGCTTGACGATAAAAGCCAAAAGCAGCAGCATTTTGTTTGACAGCAGATTTGCGGCTTCGCGCCGAGGGACTATCAACTTGAGTACTTTCGTTTTATCTACCCGACTTGAAAAAAACTGTATTTTGTATTTTTTTTTCCGTATTTATATATTTTTAAGTTTTGTTTTTTTTTGACATTAAAGTGTATGAAATTCATTATGAAATGTATTTTTCGTGTACAAAGTATTTTTGAGTATTTTTATTAGGGTATTTTAGTTTCAGCGTGTACGCATTTACGTATTTGTTGTGACTTTTCCGAAGTATGTATTTACAATTCAGCTGATTTATGAAGTTAATTACCCCTCGTTTCACGCCTTCTAATGTTGTTGTGGAAAAAATCATACGAAAAGTGAGGAAGCAAATAACAGTGGTCTCGTTCACTGAGCGACGTGAGCGAGGGGTTTCTACCTATCTCGAAATAATTAGTGAATTTTAAATTACTCAGTAAATTTAATGTAATGAAAATAGTTCTGGGTAATTTATGGGTAATTTCAGTAATTCCTACTGTTTGGAAAATAATTTGGTATTTTTAAAGATTGCTAAACAGTAGTTCGAGTAATTTCATAAATATTTGTACTCTGGAATAAACATATTGTGTATTATTCTATGTAAATGTTATGATTTTAGTGGTTTGAGGTATACTTTATTATTGAATTAGTGGAAATTGAATTTGAATTAAAAAAAAAAATGAAAATCTGAACAAAACCCTCGATGCAACCAAATCATATCGACTTTTTCATATTACCGTTGCTACGAAAGATGCTTCGTTTTGATATCTGCAATAAGGCTTCGTAAATGAACAAATCCAAATCAAAACAAAAGCAACAGACGAGTCTCGCTGTATTGAAATACAGTATTTACAGTAAAGCTTTCAAATTCCAATTTTTCATTGATTTTTTTTTAACTCAGTTTGAAATATGAGTTTAACATGACTCCAGTTTTGTTTTTTTGATGTGCAGCTCATTTTTATCAATCAAGCTTGGAAGTCGTCGTATTTCTCTAACAATTCCATCGTTGGAAATATTGTTAATCATTGAATAACACTAGTTTACAGCATATTAGAACTTTGTACGCTGATGGTCATTTCCCATGTAAAATCATGCGTTGAATCCAAAAATGTAGTCACAAAAATCTAAGTAGGGTAGTTTTCGAGATATAGTTAAACAATGAAATTCTATTTAAAAAAAAAATGTGTTTACTAAAATACAATTATCTCCGATGGTTATAAAGTTATATTAATTATTTTAATGCTAAATTAAAAATGATAAAATTTGCTTTCGATTGTTTCCATACTATTTTTCAGTGAGACTAGTGGTACAACCACTACAAACATTTTTATTTACACTGCTTAAAACATAGCAGAAATTATTTTTTTCTGGGAAAAATGCAAAATATTAAAAATAAATAAACAAACTATTAATTTACATCAATACCACTAATACCACTATTATTTTATAATGGGTTGATCAAAAGAATTTCTTGCCTTTAATTTGGTGCTAAATGGTGCTATTTGATTTAATCTTATTACAACCGGCGATATTTGTATTTTAGTAAATAAACTTTTTTAAAGTATATTTTCATTTTTAAGATGTAGGGTATACGTCCCTAACCTCGGTCTAATATGCAGCCATCGATTACGTTTTTAATCATAACTCATCAATGAATTTACCTGCAAACGATATTCTACTGCTAAATGGTATGCTTAGATATGCTTATCATGTCGTTTGCTATCAGAAACCACGAAAAGTTGAAAAACTTACTTTTTTTAAGACAATAACTCACGAGGGAAATGTATGTAATATCGGTCTATTGTCCCCAAATTGGGTCTATTTATGGATGCAACTTCGTCCTATCTTGTTTGATCCTCAAAAAAACGCTCTTGGTAACGTTTTCTGATGTAT